AGGTGTCAGAATATGGTGGCAGGCTTCTTTGACACAAGCATACAGAAACTTATTCTCTGATATATGTGCCTCAGTTCCATCGATGGCTATGTTGAGAAGTAGTTTAAGTATGTACGTATTGTTTATATATAATAAACTTGTTTTTCTCATTGCTTATTTTGTTAACAGGTGGCTGGAGGTTACTTTTCAGATAGCCCTTATATAATGAAACACAGTGAAATCGCACTACTGCATATGAGTACCCTGAATTTGTTTACTTTACACATGTACTGAAATGGCAACTTCAACATGAGTTTTGGGGCAATGACATTTGTCTGGATAAAGAAAAGATGTTCTTCAAAAAGACAAAAAAGTGGTTGGTGTTTTTCACTGAATTAACATTTTGACAATATTTGCTTTTTTGCAGCATGACCTGCCATCAGTAATCTACATTTGAGCCACTGAATTCATTTGCATAGATTCGTTTTAAATGCAACAAAAGTATCATGATCAGTAATATGCAGCACTGACCACCTTTCATTGACAGTAATATAGTGATGAGTGATGCCAGTGTATATTCAGGTGGGATACTCATACAAAGAGAATGCAAACATGGAGAATGTTAATGTTTTAGAGTATTGATGAAGAACTGAAATGCAAATGAAATGCTGTATTGATTCTCAAAATATCATACTTAATAATTTCTTCGATATAATAAAATACCTCAAAACAATCATTTAGATTATATACATGTGATTTCAATTGGTGATTTGTAAACTGTACATAAATTGATTTGAAAAAAAATGTATATTGCTCACTTGTAACTTTCATTGATTGTGTTACATGTTCTTTAATATCCATATGCACTAATAGGATTGTACATAGAACATGAAAATATTAAGCTTATAATTCAGAATGTGTTAACATGTATTTATTTGATCCTCAAATGTTTCCTCATGAACATAACATGATAATTTTAATTCTAAGCCTATCAGAAGGATCTGTGATGTCAGATTTGTGACAAAGTGCATATCAAATCTCTGAAGTTAAGCCTGGAGATAATGTTATTCAGCATGGTCTGATCCAGTCTAGTTTGCACTTTGGTTGAATTGTTGATGAGACTGCGTTTCATCCGACTGAGTAGAGGTAGAGTGTATTCCGATTCATGCAGAGGTGTGTCATCGGAACCAAACTCCTGTAACAGAATTCACTTTATTCCTTTTATATCCACTCTCCAACTCATAAGAAAGAAATTAAGTTGATCTGTGTGGATGAAGTAGAAATGTACACACATATTCTCTTCATATGAATAACCAGAAGAAGTCTCTTTTTCTTCCACAGTGTGGGCACTGACATTACTCACCAATATGTTACAGTCATTGGCAAGTGATCAATATAGTATTCTGCCATATTTGATCAGACTCGGTAATTAACATAGAAAATATATTCATTGCTTAAAAATTTGGAAAAGAAATTAAATTGCTGGCTTGTATATAAACCAACACAAATGTTAATTTTAATAAATTTTGAAGTTGTTTATGTGGGACTTAAGCTAACATCTGATAAAACGAGTTGAAGTCCGAGAAATATATATAAAAATTAAAAACATTTAGCTTGAGAACTTTATCTTAAGTGGGCCCCTTGTCACCATGACACGGCACATCATTGGATTGTGGATGGAGGAGATGGCCCCAGATACAGAGGGTAACTGCAGATATATTGAATAAGCAGCCATGAACTCCCAACGATTGATAGTTCTTTAGATGGAGGGTTAACAAGTCTGCACCATACAAAAATAATTTTGTTATGGAATGTTACCATACAAAAATAATTTTGTTATGGAATGTTGTGTAGGTACTCAGACTTGGAGAGATTGTTTGATAAATGATCTAAGCTAAGGAAAATGGATGTGAGATTTGACACACAGGATGTAAGGAACCTAAATAGATCATGTTCACCCGCAACCATTACGAAAGAAATAGCAAAATATGTTAGATTTAGTGGGAGTAGAAGGGGTCAGATGGGACAGGGGTGACATTGAACCATCAGGCGATTATACGTTCTATGAATGTGGGAATAGAAATCTGGAAATTTTGTATGCAAGACAATCATATCAGCAATTAAGAGGGTAGAGTTCATTAAAAATAGAATGCCCTATGCCATAACAAGAGGTCGCTGGTGTGGTATGTTGTGAATGTTCATGCCCCAACAGAGGATAAAACTGATGATATGAAGGACAGCTTCTGTGATGACCTAGAACATGTAGTTGACAAATTCCCAAAGTTCCATATAAAAATTTAGTTAGAGGATTTCAATGCATTATAAGGTAGAGAAGATATTGCGACATAATGGCTGAAAGCCAGGGTAGTGGAACAAATAGATGTCTAGGCAGTGGGGCGGTACACACATTTCTGCAGCAACAGATACACAACAATAGAGGATGCAGTGTTTACTTTGCGGTCCATGCTGAGGTTATATAACAAGGACCAACTGGACAACCCAGGGATGAGGGATTTTGAAGGTTCCAGAACCGTCAGACAGTAAAATACGAGGGGGGACCCAAAAATAACTGGAAACGACCTGTTGCGCGCGCATGCTTTGTAGTTACGAGTTGTGCTGCTAGGTGGTGTTAGCTGGGGGTCTCCCGTGACTGTTAGTGAGCTGGCGTCAGTCTAAGTTAAGTGGTTTGTCTGTGGTGCTCTGTCGTGTGCGTTCCTGTTTCAACCCTTTGGCGATTAGTGAGATGGCCGACCAGAAGGAACAAAGAGTGTGCGTGAAATTGATGAAGATCGTCGAAAGACCATTGACCAACTTTCTGAGGAAACGAACATCTCATGGAGCACGGTCCAGCGAATTTTAACCGAAGGTTTGCACATGAGACGGGTGTCTGCAAAATTTGTTCCTCGCTTGCTCGGAGATGACCAAAGAGAAAACCGCGTGAATGTTTGCCGCGACTTGAAGAGTGAAGTGCAGTTTTCCCTAACAGAAAGCAAAATTTCACGCACACTCTTTGTTCCTTCTGGTCGGCCATCTCACTAATCGCCAAAGGGTTGAAACAGGAATGCACACAACAGAGCACCACAGACAAACCACTTAACTCAGACTGACGCCAGCTCACTAACAGTCGCGGAGACCCCCAGCTAACACCAGCTAGCAGCACAACTCGTAACTACAAAGCATGCGCGCGCAACAGGTCGTTTCCGGTTATTTTTGGGTCCCCCTTCGTATTGTCATGAATCCTGTGGGACTCGGAACCAAGAATAACTGTGCTGGTCAGGGCCATCAGCAATTTATCAGTCAGGCCAATTAGTCAACAGTCAGTCAGATGTCAGACTCAGTAGTTAGCAATCTTCTGTTGTGTTAGCAGCCACTACCTGTTAATGACTAGGGAACTAACAGAAGACTTTATGTGTGTACCAGTTGTAGTGATCTGTAGAGTGTAATTTAAGGAGAGTTATAGTAATTTGTAGTTGTGAATTGTAACAATTCAATAAATCCAATTACCAGTCCAAGGCCATGTCTAATCACTGACATGTGACAGTATTTTACATAAAACCAAAAATCAGGAATAAGCATTTACATGAAATTATTAATGATAATGGACTTAGAGTAGTGAACTTTACTACATTCAAATGTCTGATTGTCAGAAGTAAAATGTTCCCACATTGTAACATTCATAAATTTACTTGCACATCTTCAGATGGAAAGACACATAGATGGACCATATTTTGACAGATGGGAGACGTAATTCGAGGTTATTTGATATCCGACCTGTCAGGGTAGCAGACTTTGATACTGATCACTGTCTGGTGGTCAAAATAGGAAGGGAGAAACAGGCAGTATGTAAATAAACAATGCAAAAGTTTTACATGGATTGGTTCTACCTAAAGAAACTAAACAAGATATAGGGTAAAGAACAGTGTGAACTTAAAATCTCAAATAGGGTCACAGTTTTGGAAAACTTGGATGATTACGTGGATATTAATAGAGCTTGGGAAACTGGTAGAAAGAATATCAAAATTTCAGCCAAAGAGAATCTAGGATATTACAAATTGAAGTATAAGCCATGGTGTGACTAAGGATGTTCAGAACTATTAGATCAAAGGAAACAAACCAGATTGCAATGGTTACAGGATCGTAGCCAAATAAACGAAACAGTATAAGTCATGAACCCAGTAGGCATTTCAGGAATAAAAATGTATACAGAATTTTGGTCAGAAAGCCAGAAGGAAAGAGACTTCTAAGAAGACCTAGGCTTTTTTTTTAGATTCACTTAGTGGGGGGTGGAGTCCAGCTGGGTCCACTTGGCACGGCCGCCACCGATTGGCCTATTGTACCTGCCCCTGGTGATTATGATGATGCAGAATTTGGTGGAATGAAGATTGGCAGGGGAAGCTGAAGTACTCGGAGAGAAGCAGCTCCAGCGCCACTTTGTCCACCACAAATCAAACTTTACCAGACCCGGGATTGAACCTGGGTCACTGGTGGGAAAAGACCTAGGCTTAGGTAGGAGGTTAATATTAAAATGGATTTTAGAGAGAGGGGAAGGGGTGATATGGACTGGATTCATCTGGCTGAGGACAGGGACTGGTGGAGGGTGTGAACATAGTAGAGAACCATTGGGTTCCATCAAAATATTTGAAATTCTTAAGTAGCTATGCAACTAATGGCTTCCTAAGGACTCAGCCCCATGGAGTTTGTTTGTTTCTTTACTTGGGAACTACAAAAGAATGTCTCACATTTTTTGTATGTTTGCTTTTAAGATCCTGACTGCATTATTGATTGACTCTAATTATTTGTCAGTTTTAGATTAAAGAACATATTCAGTAATCAGAGATGCACTAATAATCATTGCAGAAAACAATTAAAGGAGCTTATTTGTAAAGAAATTCCTTAATAATAATCTCATTGTACTTGTATGGTGGAAGCTGTTTTATTTTATGATACTGTTCCATATTAAATGTTGATTTCTGTTGTACCAGTTATTCATTAACCATCAGTTTTCATTCTTTTCATTGTAGTACACAATGTTTCATATAAGGGATGCTGCAACTGCTCCTTAGTTGATCCATCATCAAACAAGGAACCAATAACACCAGTGTCCAAGGCAGTGCTTCACAATTTAGATGTATATTCAGTAAGTAGTGACTTCACTTCTATAATTGAAGCATTGTCTGCATAAGTTAAATCTCTTGAATGTGTGATGTGACCTTTGTACATGAATGCATCAAAAACTAATATGTACCATAACATTTTGACGCAACCATTATGTAAAAACAGTGGTTACACATGCAGGAATGATAATTATGAAATATGTCTTGACATGTTTTAATTATGATGGGAACACTTACTAAACATTTTCCACTAATTTTCCACTCTGTTTTCAGGTACACCACGACTACAATCCGTGCCAAATGGAAACCATCCATCTTCTCCATTGACCAAATAAAACGGTGGTTTACTTCATCATCTACGTGACATGGGCGATCAGGATCCTTTGCATGCAGAAATATGTATTTCATTGGAATGGTAAAGTAAAAAAAAGTAAAGCTATCCTGTACCAGGCCATGAAGGCCCATAGGATTGTGAGACGTTTAGGGTCCCTCATTATCTAGACCATTGGCTCAAAGATGGCGGTAAGGTTGTCAGCCTTACGCGCCGGCTGTGCTTTACTCCCCAGGAAAATTATTTAATTAATTCCTGGTATTCATTTCTGTGAGAGGCTGAGTGTACCCCAGGGCCATAGGAAGGATTAGGTCAATTGAAAAAAATAAAAAAATATCATCGGGAATTCAACCCGCGACCTTCCGGCTTGTAGCACAGCCCCTCAACACACTATGCTACCGCATGCCCCTTCATTAGAATGGTAGTGTATTTAGGCATATTTTTAGCGCTAATTTAAATATATTTTTATTTATAGGGCTTCTCAGATTAGATGTGAAATTATTGAAGATTTTTGCTGCCAGCATAATATGCACATCTCTGAAAAAATTAGGGGCTGGCAACTTACCTGCGAAGATGGTACGTGTTTGTTAAGTTAAAACTATGTACAGCATAATTTATCTGAAAATATTCTTGGCTATTCACAATGAATTTTGTTAATGAGTACATGTATTCTCATGAAGAGATAAGGTCACTAATCCCAAAAATAGACCTCTGCATGAATTTATAGGTTTGACATCTGCCATGATTTTAAAATTTTATTTTGTAATGTAAATATCTGGAAAAAAGAATTTACTTGGAAGATGAAGTCAGAGTTCTTTTTTTTTATTGTTACTGGGGTGGGACTGTGTCCCTCGTACTGCAGCCACTTCTGGCCTATTGTACCATCCCCAGGTGATAAGTTATGGTGATTGTGGAGCAATGGGTGGAATAAAGATTGAATGATATTTTCTTAGGTTCAGGTCATAATCAGTGATTTCCCTATCCAATATCTGACCACTGGTATTGTGGGGTGGATACTTTTCATAAAAAGTTTATGTATGTCCTTGACATATGGCGAAAAACATAATAAAGTGAATAATGGGACATTGGAAAATAGGATATCTTGGGAAATGTTGGAAATTGTAAGAGTAAATCAAAATAATTGTGATACAATGCACTTGAAATCGTTCCGAAATATCAATATTTTGGAAAAAATGCATTTACATCCACTATAAATATCGCAGTATATTCCAGGTTACATAGATTACGTAGAGAGTTTAACTGAAAAATATATGCAAGAGTTTATCGCGTGAGGAAATTAGGAAATAAAATGTCCCGTATAAATATATAATGGTTTCATACGCTATGAGAGACATTCAATCGTAAGAGGTTGCCGACGAACAACCCGTGTTCAACTGAGCATAACGATGCGAATTAGTCATTTGCGCACACCTATCATAATGTATGCTAACAAACTAACATTAGCATAAACTACCGAGCTTCGCCCCATCAAAGGTACAGATGGATGCGCAGTAGTCTACTGCGCAAACCTGACCTAACCTAACCTAACATCAGCGAACCAAGGGTCAGCCCCCTGAAATACAGGTGGATGCGCAGTAGTTCATTGCGCACACCTAAGAGTGACGTCATTTACAAAGCTGATATTTAATCGAACGTAATATGGGACTGTAGTAACATGGAATATAAGTTGAAATATGACGTTATGTATAAAATTGAGCGCGTTGACTGTTTTTCCACCCGTAATATCAATATTTGCCCATATATTCCGAGGTTATGTTGCTACGCGATAGCTTAGATTGTGTCGAGAACGCCGCTCCCACTACACGAGTTTCCGCATCCCCCACGGTGATACAAATGACTGCTGAATATTACATATTATGGCATTATGCTGCCCTTCAATGGTATAACGTTATGACGAAAATCCTTATTATCAGTGAAGTCGTGCCCTTCTTTGTCGTGGATGGATACGCGACGAATTGAGTGACTGCTTGTCATATGTTTCGCCCGAATTTCCCTGCCTGAATAGGAAGTAGAATATGAATTATACACGAAAAAGGATAAAAAATAGGGTGAAAAATTACCGTCCTGTAATGGAACTGATAATGGAATATTTCTGTTTGAGTCATGTAAAGCGGTTGGCTGCCCTGTCACTGTTACCAAAATATCGGGTGTACAACATGAAGGTAGGTTTCTTTCCTGTTTTGAAGATGTGTTTATAAATAATAAGGCGGTGTTATGTACGTGTGTTTTTATACATATATCTTCCAGTTGTGATCAATTATCTGCTTGAAAGTATATCTTAAAAGATTCAGTGGGATAGTGCAAATGGTAAGCTTTAATGTGCACAGTATCGTTAACCGCGTAATGGCATCTACACAAAATTTTGCAAACTTGTGTTTCCTCTGTTCCACAACGAAATCGAAGTGTTTTCCTTCTGAACCATAAAAGTGGAGTGTGTGTGTGTGTGTGTGTGTGAAGGAAGAATACACCGTAAGGTACATTTATTGATTTAACGAAAGTAAGTGCATATAAGAATAGTGGGTGTGTAGTGAAAGAGAATGTGTCTTTGAGGTTATTCTTGCAGTATTTTTAATAATCTTGTGTGAAGTATGTACAGTGATTTGCACAAAATGTGTTTTAGTGGTTATATGGATAGAGAGTGACTTAGATTTTATGAGTGCATATTTGGTATGACAGAAAAGAGGGTGTAGTTTTGGTATGTAGCACTGAATATGACAGGTGTGAGTAGGTTAATGGTCAGAATGATATAGTTCTTTTTTGCATTAGTATAAGTACTTTTAAGAAGAGGGTGCAAGTGAATTTCTAGTTTCCATTGAAGAATTTACTTTTTGAATTTATATCTTAGTTCTGTGTGATAGTGTAGTGGGTATAATGTATGTTGTTCTGGTCACAATAATGTCGAGTGTAAAGCGAAGTTTAAATTCTCTAGTGTGACGTTATATTTTTGTGTGCGATATAAACAGTGATGTATGGTGAGGTTTTGTAGTGTTTGAGAATGTTAAGATTTCAATTTACGCAGAATGGATTCGAAAGTCTCCACTTTTATGTACATATGTTATTTGAATGGAGAATTCTTGCTTATAACAAGGCGGTATGCAAAGTGAAACACATGTTGTTACTAGTGTAATGCTGGCAATCCTGTTCAGTGAGAGTGTAAAATGTGCACAGTGGTGTGTAGAGTATGTGTTATAGCATGAAGGATGATGGCAAGTGATTTGTAAGTATGTGTATGTGTATTTTTGGTGTGATAGACAACTGATTGCATTCTTGGCATCTGATCTTCCAGGCTTACATGTGCTAGCAGGTAGTATAGAGATGAGGGAATTATTTTATTTCCATCTATTAAACTGCTTAGAGAATCACATTGTTTAAAGGAAAGCACGAGTTGTTACAGCTGACATTCTTGTAATTGAAATTCATAGTTCAGTCTAGAACATATATAATGATATGTTGGTTCCTTGTTCTAATGCTTATGAGATTGTTGAAGGATATTTTCTTAGGTTCAGATCGTAATCATTGATTTGCCTATCGAATATTTGAGCACTAGTATTGTGGGGTGGATACCTTTCATATAAAGTATATGTATGTCCTTGACGTATGTCAAAACCATAATAAAGTTAATAATGGGAACATTGGAAAAGAGAAAATTTGCGGAACTTGTGGAAATTGTAAGAGTAAATCAAGATAATTGTGATATCATGCACTTGAGAGCGTTTTGAAATATCAGTATTTCGGAAAAATGCATTTACGTCCACTATAAATGTCGTAGTATAATCCAGGTTTCATAGATTATGTAGAGAGATTAACAGAAAAATATATGCAAGAGTTTATGACGTGAGAAATTTCTGAAATAAAATGTCCCGTATAAATATATAATGATTTACTACTCTATCAGAGGCATTCAATCGTAATATATTGCCGACGTCCAAAGGCGAGCTTGACTGATCATAACGATGCGCAGAATTCGTTTGTGCACACCTATCATAATGTACAATCCCAACCTAACATTACCATAAATTACCGAACTTGGCCCCCTCCAAAGTACAGATGGATGCGCA